TTTTAATTAAGAAATAATTACTTTGTAATATCAAATCAATAATATGTCTGTGTTTTCGATTGAATATTTTTTGTAACAATCGAGCTGGTTCAAAATGAGCTTCATCAAGTTTCATTTAAATTGGAGTTAATGTATTATGAACCATATTTTCTATCAATGATGCTCTTGTCAATAACATATGTGCACTCATTTTATCTGAACAAAGAAATGCTTGAATAATCAATGTATGCACACGTTGAAGTTTTGATAGAGAATAATTAAACCGATTTTCAATATCAAAAGTAGCAAAAAGAGGAAAGATAATAAGTGATACAAGCAAAGCTATAACCATTCCAAGAAGATAAATTCCGAGTAATTCAAAAGAATATGTTGATAGAATACTAGGATTAGAAAAATGCCCAGAAAAATATATAACATTGTAAAGTAAAGAAATTTTTCTAATTTGAACCTACAAAAAAAAAATCAGTCATGAAATATTAAAAAATTTCTAATATTTACTTGAGTATATCCATATGCAATACAAAATGATGTAAATAATAGTAAAAGTTCCGTTGCAAGATAATCATGATAACTAAGACCAATTTTTTTTGCAACAAATAAAAATATCGAAAGAGGTGTTATAACTAAAGTTATTTGGTAACAACAAGATAATGTTTATCCGAACGTTTGTTGTAAACATACAATACTTATTATAGGAACAAGATATTCAAGTGAAAGTTGATTAGCTAATTCAGTTCCATAAGCAAGAAAACCAATAAATAAAAAATATATCACTTCTTGAAAACTAAATTGAACACGTTGCATAAAAACTGAATGAATCCATACAGGAGTCGATTCAGAATGATGATAATTAAAATAAAAATGGCGTATAATTCGATATATGGCGAATATAGACATTTTACCTTGATTTTATCTGTTCTTTCGCTATTTAAATATTTGCATCGATTTTGTCTATCCTTCATTATTTACGTAATTAATATTTATAAATCTACTTCATATATAACCATTCTTCATTTTGTACAAAGATAAGATAACGAATAAACGAATGGTTATATACAGTAGTTTACTGTCATCTTTCAATATTAATCATGAAAAAAAAATTAATTCTGATACCATCAAGTAGAAAGCCTATGGGTATGATAAACACGCCCTTCGAATTTATCTATTTCGTATAAGATTTGAATGTGTTGGTTATTGTTTCCTTGAAGACGGAACAAACTTTTGATACAGATGAAAGTTTCCAAATCTATGAGACAATATATTCATTTCAAAGAGAGTAAATGAGAACATCATACAGACAATAGTGTGACGTCACATCAGTACTGTCATGTCTATGGTCTGCACCAGCATGTAAGTTATTACTGTACTATAAGACACCTGCAAATGTCCATTACGAACTGATTCAAAACCGAACATATGTATATACATCTCCCGTCCTGAAGAGGTTGAACGATAAAAACAGTCATAACGAGCTTGTTTTTTAATCTATACGTTCTATTTTATCGTTTATAGAAACTACCGACACAAATAATAATAATCTTTCATGCAATAATACTCTTTAAGAATGATAAAGTTGATTCTTTTTTTTTTAGATATTATTTGTAAATCTGATTGTGTTTATTGCAAATATTTGATTGCTAATTCTTTTTTTCATGTAATGTAATGCGTCGAGTTTATTTAGTACGTTGCAAGAATAAAGCTTTTCCAAACTTTGTTATAGTTGAAGTTCTTCAAAGGTAGAAAAAACGAGTCAATACAGTACAGCATAAAACTGTTACACTCATTGACAAAATACGTAACTATGAGTAGTTTATTAGAATCCAAATGGTAACTAGGTGTGGATGTGGTTGTAGCTTAGGATGTAAGATGCCTACACCTACATTCTCAAAAACGAAAACTTCTGATGTCAATTTATCTTTACATACTGAAAAAGTATATTTTAATCTTAGTTTTATTCAATATTTGTTACATGGGAGATATTTTCATGGAATTTTTATGTCAGAATTTCATTGTTAATGTTGTCTATATGTCAAAGAACATTTGAATAACTGAATTCTTTATAATTAAATTTTTGATAGTTTATGATGAATATGATTTTAATATTTAAAAAGTGAAAACATTCAACGTTATAATTGAATTTTTTTGTAAAATATATTGTACTCCTTCAGTCTTAAGTATGAACAAAATTAAAACTGACAGATAATGATCGAATTCTAACTATAGGGAAAACAAAATGGAATCGAAAAGATATGTATCTTTAAAAATCACATAGTTCAGCAATTTCTTTATCAAAATTTTATATAGTATGAGATAGGGAGTTTATTTTTGATTTTGTTAATACATTCATTGCTAAATATTGTAGCAACTTTCCAATGAATTCATATGCGTAATGTGCGTCTTGGACTGTTATAAATAAAATTATTAAGTGAGAACTACTGACGTGCTTTTTCTTCGATGCGAAATTTCTTCTTTTCGTTCTGCTTTCTCAACACTGCCTACTATTCTCTTGTTGTTCTGTTTCTATATTAATATGATAAAAATACCGAAAGAAAAGTGAAAAAAAAAGAGAACAGAAACACCGCGTGACAACCATTCTTTTTTACTTCCTTTTTTCATTCACACATTCAGATAATTATATTGCAAAATTACGAGACACTTTCGTGACACATAGTCATATAAATAGGTTAGAATAAGAAAGTATTAAATTCTAACGTACATATTATGAATGAAACTATATCCATGACTAAAATGATTATTCCATGTCTTCATACATTACCTGTCGAACATGTCTACAGAATTCTTGACAATCTCCATCAACTAGAAATTCTTTTCTCATTCTATGATGTTTGCACAAGACTCAATGCAATCATAAGTACATATCATCGATATAAGGTAATCTTCATTTAAGAAAATATCACTTATTTCGATATTAAAAATGTATCTTAGAAATTCTACTTGTAAATTTGAAAACAAAAAGTGGATTTGTCTCAGATTATTTCAAAGATATTTTTTGAGCTTGTTAATACTCGACGCTATTTTTTGAAAATAGAAATAAAATACGAATGGTTTTATAAAATGTTAAGTGTTTCCATATACTATATTTAAAAACAAGAAAAATTCTATCGTGTATGGATGCATCACTTATTCTATGAGGAACTACATAAAAAATATATATATCATTCGATGTTTTTTGACTGAATCAAAGAACATTAATATGAAAGAAAAAAAAGATTTAATATCTTTTCATCAATAACAGTTCGATATTGTTCATATATGAAAACTTGAACAGTTAGAAATGTGTGAAATCAAGTATTTTTATACTTGATCTCGGTGGCTTCCTTTTCAGTGCCCTTGATCATAGTTCTATTAAATCTGATCTGGTTTCGATCTTCGTCTTGATTTTGACTTAGGGAAAAGCCATTTCAGAACTTGTTCACATCAAAATCTAAAAAGTCTGTAAATATTTGCTAGTGTGATTAATTCACCCGTATGAATGTCATTTTTTTTTGGATCATCTCTCTTGAATTTTGCTTTGATTAAAATGATTTCGAATATAATTCGCTAAAAATTATAAACAGCTTAACTAAAATTTTTGGCTCTACTTCAAACAGTTTGTTCAGACTCAGTATATTTTAATTTTTGTTTATTCTAATCTCGAGATTATAGCGGATTCTGTACATTTTGACTTACAGTTTAATTTTCGCTTATTTTAAATGTCAGTATTTCTTTGAAAATTTAAAACAAGTGTATTAATTAAAACTGTAATGTTTCGATTAATTTCCAAGTTACCATTCAATATAAATAAATATGCTGAATGTTTTTACTTTTATCCTTATTCTCATTTTGTTTGCGTTAATTATTTCATTACATTGTTTACTAATACCAATGAAAGAAATTTTATTTATTCGTTTTTGTTTAATATTAACTGTAATTCTTTTTGTCAACAGAAAACGGACAATGATATTTTCCATCATATTATTGAATCTACGACTAATATCTCTAAATACACATTCTAATAATCAATATTTCTCGTATTGAATATATGTTGTTCGAATAGAACATAAAAATTTGTTTAGACATATACCATATTGCAATTCGAATGTGGAAAAATTGACAAAGAAAAATTGCAACGGTTCGCTGATGTATTACAAAATAACACGGTAGAATAAGATATCTATTGAGATATCGGTAGAAAAAAAAGTATTGATCATTCTGTATAGACAATTACTACATTATGTCTTTCATGGAATGTAATTGGCAATGAAGGATTACAGTATTTGGCTAATATATTTAAAATAAACACAGTGAGAAAGAATTTCTACTTATATATTACATTTCTAATATTATCATTCAAAATAGACACTCACAACGCTTAAACTTCAAGGAAATCATATCGATGCTCAAGGTGCACAATATCTAGCTGATATATTACAAAACAATAAAGTGCGATAACTCTTAAATTATTTATCACAAAGTTTACATTATTATTCAAAATAGACACTGATGACGTTGATATTTTCAGACAATACAATTGGTGGTGACGGTGTTCGATATCTAGCTAATGTATTAGAAAGCAATAGAGTGAGAAAATTTTCTCCATTCACCTATTATATATTCATTATAAACATTCAACATAGTCTCTCACAAAGCTTGAGCTTGAAAACGCCGGGATTGGAGATATCGGAGCTCAGTATCTGGCAGAAGTATTAAAGAAGAATATAGTACGATAAATTATCTAGTCTTCTATCATCTATTCATCATAATTATTCAATACATAGACACTCAAAACATTGAAACTTGCTCGAAATTTAATTAATGCTGAAGGAGCAGGATATTTGGCTAATGCATTAGAAATGAACACGGTAAGAAAAATTTTCTAATTATCTATTAGACATCCAATACTATTACTTTTACACAGACATTAACATCACTCTGTCTTAGAAACAATAGAATTGATGAGGAAGGTACAAAATCTTTAGCTCAAGTATTACGAATAAATACTGTGAGTCGAACCCCAAAAATACCTATTATGTCTACAACAATACTACGTATTTTCCATAGACACTTACAACGTTATCTCTTGCTCGAAATAAAATTGACAATAATGGAGTACAATACGTGGCTGATGCGCTCTACACTAACACTGTAAGAGAAGTTCTCTGCTTCAGTTTTTCTATACTTAACGTCATCATTCAACATAGACACTTACAACACTCAATCTCTTCGGAACTGGTTTTAGTGATAACGGAATGCAATATTTAGCTAAGGCATTAGAAAGAAACATAGTAATACAAATTCTTTTCTCTTCTATATCATATATTCATCATTATTATTTAACATAGGCACTCATAATACTGAATATTGGCAATAATTCTTTCGAGACTAACGGATTGCAGTATCTGGCCAATGCATTGCAAATCAATAAAGTGAAACAATATTTTTTGTTTTGCAGATCATTCATTCAACATTATCATTTTGATAGGCACTTAAGACATTGTATATTCAATGTAATAACATCAAGGATGCAGGAGCACAATATTTAGCTAATGCATTGCTAAATAATACAGTAAGATACATGTTCTATTGTCATCTATCACACATGTTCATTATTCTAATTCAATACAGACACTCACAACATTGGATCTTGCAGAAAATGGTATTGAGGAGAAGGCAGTCCAATATTTTACCGATGCATTACAAATTAATACGGTAAACTAAGTTATGATTTGACTGTAAAACACCAAGATACTTACACAAGACGTGTTAGATGTCTAATGGGTGAATAGCAAAATCCAGTAAACTCCCAAGAGCCTACTGAGAAACGTCATATGCGTCATGACACATATCCATGTTGATTTCTCATTTTCCTTTTCCCATTCTAGGTGTAGGTATGAGTAAATTGGTGACTCACATTTACATCACATCCGTCTTGGTCACAAAATAAGAATTGCCTCTATACTGCTTAATACATCGAAAAGTGATTTTAAGTGTGTCAGTATGTAATGTACCTACACGCCGGTATTTAATATCCACAAAATTTCATGACCAGAAATATTGTTGTTGAAAAATGGCGAACTATACAATGAATAGGTACTGCATTGGTTATTGTCAGATGTTCTGTGATCGGACTCCTACTATGATTTTAATATTTCAACAGGAGTGTGGCTTTAGAAGTTGAAATAATTTGCCATTTTCATATCTTACTTGGGACTACATATAGACAATGTTTCATAGAAATTCGTGATATTAATTGAGCACATGGTTCATATTTGAGTTGTCTCTTTCGTGCAATAGCTCTTAAAGACCTGAGACTCTAATATTCTGTAGGATTCTGTTATTCACTCCTTGTCTATATTTGGTGGTTATAGATTGAAACTTCATTTAAGAAGTGAAGTGTCAATGAATAATTAATATCATATATTCTAGTCGTATAGACATGTAACATGACTTGTAAGATTGAGGATATTTGTCTACGATGTTATCTGTCTCATACTCATTGTCATCGTTGGCAATAGACACTCACGACGCTAAATCTTGGATCAAATTTCAATGCACAACAGCAACCTGTGACTAATATTGTTTCAAGATAATATAGAACAAGTACGATTTCATGATCAAATTATTGATAGATTTTCAAGCTAACGATTAACTTTGATTTGTTTGAAACAATACCATTCATGTATTTTATTCACAATATGAAAATAATTTGGCTCTAAAATTGTTTCTTGTCTTTTAAAACAAGTCTAATAAGAGATTTGTTGAGCAAATAGACGCATTATTTATTACTAGCGAGAGCCTGTGCATAGTACACGGATGCTTTTTCCTGTAAAGTTTCACATCTGTCCTTTAGTCTTGATTCGGTAATAGACAATCAGACAGTTTGCATTTTATATAGAGAGAGACCTTATAGCCTTATACTCTCGCAGCCTTATTTCGTTATTCTCTCATCCCTTAGATCACATGCAGTCTCATCTACTTATCCGCTATACCCTTATCTCCTTATACTTTTTTTAGCTTTATCGCTTATGCCCCTGTAGCCTTAGCCTCTTATCCCCATTATCCGTATATCCTTATCCATTACCCTCTTGAGAATCTATGGGTATCCTCATATAATAGCCCATTAGGACCTATGAATCCGCAGTAGCTCTTGGCGCCCTCCCCTTATAGCCTTATCTGACCTTTGACCCGGCACAGAGAAATAGATCGACAGACAGATGCTGAACAATATATATATAGATATATGATAATCTGCAAGTCATCAATGCTTATAATAATAAAATAAACGAATCAAATATATAATACATTTTAGTTTGTGTAAAAGAAATAAAATTTATATATATATATCATGATTTTCATATTTCATATTCGTTTCATTGCAATAGAAATCTTCTTACAACCACATCAATATCCTTTTATTTTCTTCTTTCGTCTGACAATGATGAACAAATGTTTAATGTAATCAGTTAATTATCTATCGAAGAAAGATATTTTATAGATAATTATTAGAAAAGAAATGTTTATTCTCGTAAAATATTTGTCAAGTTTTTCATTTCAATGCTTTTATTGTATTCTCTAAATTATTACAATGGTAGAAAATTTATTATTAAGACGACATTGATTTGTTAGTGATTGAATTGTAATAATTTCAAAGCATTATAATTAGCAGATAGAAGATTTTTTTTAAATAGAAATTATCGATATGATTCCAAAGTGTATTTCACGAGACTTTGTTTTTTTTATAGAGATTATTTGAATATACAAGTATATTTACAACAATATTTCTGATAAAGTTAGACAATATGCAAACTGAAAATAATTACGAGCGCAATAAATCATGAAAGACATAAGAGCAGAAAGTTCACTATTAATATATTGCTTTTGTTATCATCATTGAAATTATGATATTTCTAGTTCTACATAAGGACTTCCATATGTTCAAAAAATTGAAAAAAAAACGGTTAGAAACAACTCTTTCATATCATTTCATTCTTTTGAAATCGTTATGTCTCGCTTTTTTATTTTACTTGTCTGCTTTATTCTATCTCTTGATTCTTTGAATACTCTTCAAATTCTTGGTCTTTTCCCTAAATATCATAATGTATCTTTTGAATATTTGAACACAAATTCAAGTTCCCATTGGACAATTGAATCTATGGAAATGTTTCGTGCAGCTATTACTCTTGCCAATCGCTACAATATCTATGTAAATGGTCATCCTATCAGTTACACTATTCTTCAGACAAATGCAAATAGTATTGGTTTTGCCGAACTTGAACTTGTCTGTCGATCCATTACGAATGCAGCAGAACCCGATGTTATAGGTGTTGTCGGACCAACAAGTTCAACTAGTGTACGCTATATTGGTCCATTTGCGGCACGTATGCATTTACCACTTATTTCTTACACTGCAACTAATGCTGATCTTGATGATATATTTAACTATCCAACATTCTATCGTACTATTCCTTCGGATATTCTTACAGCTGAAGCTATTGTGAAATTGTTTAAATATTTTTCATGGAAAACTTGTTCAATAATTATTGGAAATGATGATTATGGTTATGGTGGATTGAAATTATTATCAGAAGTTTATTATGCAAATTTAACAATTGGAGAACGATTAGTATTTGATCCACGATTTGATAAATTTCAAGCTGATTTAACGCAATTATTAGGAAAAAGCCCATCTCGTATTGTACTAGTCTGGGCTAATCATAGTTCATCTACAAGAATTATTCAACATGCACTTAATGCAAACCTTCTCAGTGGAAGCTACGTATGGATAACGACAAATAAGGTAAATATAAAGATATTTTAAGTTTTTTTAAAAAATTCATCCATTTTCTGAAAGAAATTAAAATATCATTAAGAGAAAAATCTACAGATTGATATGCATTTTTGGTGACACAAACGATTTATTCTGTGTTTTATAATCTTCACATAACTTAATTAATTCATTTTAATTGCTATTGTAACACTACTATTTTCAGATTGATTTCAATACATTCGAACAAAAGCAATGGCTTAATTTAAATGGTATTCTTACCGTAGCGCCTTTTGTAGGTAATAGTAATGCCTTTGGTATTAATGAAACATTACAAAAAGAGGCTTTTGATGTTTGGCATAATTTATCACATGATAAAGACAAAATTCGAGAACTTGCATCTACTATCAGTCTAGAAGCTATGTATACATTTGATGCTGTTTGGGCTTTAGTTCAATCATTAAATAAATCAGTATTTAACAATAAATCACTGTCGATGAATAAATCATTGACTTGTTTTGATTGTTTATTACAAAATTATGACAAATATCTTGATCATCTGAAAAATACTAGTTTTTTCGGCGTGTCAGGACATGTTCAATTTTCTAAAAATAATTCAGATAATTGTATTTATGGTGTCATGTATGGACTCTACAATGTACAATTAACGAGGTTGAAAAACAGTAGAGGAAAACAAGAACCAACCTATATAAAAGTATTGACATGGTATGAAACAACTCATGATTGGACGAATTCAACTGATGAACGTCATAATTATATCATCTGGCCCAGCAATGAACACACAAAAGTACCTACTGATTATCCACAACTTCGAGGTTAGACAAAAGTTAATAATTTAATATAAAAAAAAAACGAAAAAACTCTTGTCTCATTTTATGAATAATTAGAAAGGAAAAGCAAAAAAGAATATTGATAGTCAAGAAAAATTAGAAGTTTTGAGACCTCATATGAAAATATATATCCATCTAACGACGGAATATTCTAACGAGGAAATATTGTCAACTGTCCAATCGCTTTTGAGTTCAGACTCTGTACATAAGGTAGATCCCAGTGAGATATGAAAAACGGCATAAGAATAAGTGTCCTTAAGCCTTCTATTCAGTGTTATAGGTATTTTACCGAAATTTTAGTCTCTGGCATAGTAAATACCAACAAATCAAATGACGGTATTTCGACCCGAGATTTTGTCCACAGATAGGTCTAGTTGTGAGTAGGATGCTCTGATAATTTCAGTCCAAGAGATTGGGAAGAAAACATTCTTTTGAGCTGAAATCATCAGAGCATCCTCCTCACAACTAGATCTGTCTGTGGACAAAATCTCGGATCGAAATACCGCCATTCGATTTGTTGATATTTACTATGCTAGAGACTAAAATTTCGATAAAATGCCTATAACTCTGGACAGAAGACTAAAGAGCACTTATCATTTTGGGATTTTTCATATATCACTGGGGTCTGAACTTAAAAGCGATTGGACAGTTGATAACGCTTTCTCATAAGATGTTCATTCTTTTTCTATGCATCTTAATCTGATTGATGTCTTTATGTGGGTAATAATTTCAGATCGATATTCGAAAGTATAATCATGCTTCAATGTCGGATTCTGTAGTCGAAATTAAAAAAAAGTTCGATCTCCTCAGAAATATGTCGATAGATATCTAAAATGTTTCCTAATAAGATCAAAATTTTGCGATATGTTGTTGTAAATAGAATTTCTTCTCAATATTCTTTGTCATTATCTGTCTATTTTTGATACAAAATCAAGTCAAATTTATATTTTATTTAAACAATGATATAATTTCCATACATTATTTTTAGGTCAACATTTGCGAATTCTTGTCATTGATGCACCTCCATTCGTTATAGTACGTAATTTTTCAACTCATGACACAGAACGAGTCGATTTTCGTGGCGATCCTCTAAAAACTGAAGATCCAAAAGTTCTTATTTACGGATTTGTTGCTGATTTCATTCGTGAACTTGTAAGATATATGCATTTTAATTATACAATTAGTGTAGCTGATCCATCAACAGCCTATCATTCTCTTGTTGCATTATTAGAAGAAGATAATCGTCAATATGATATTGTTTTATCTAATATTGCAATTACTTCAGATCGTATGCTTAAAGTTGACTTTTCAACACCTTTTCATGAAAATACTTTTCGAATTATTACTCGATTAAATCCACATTCATCATCACTTAGTCTTTTCTTATGTTTTAATCCATTTACTTGGGATGTATGGGCAACAATATTTGCAGTTATGATTTATTCAAGTATGATTATTTATGTATTTGAATATCAAAATAGAAATATTGAAAATAATCAATTTGAATTAAAAGCTGTTTGGACTAGTATATTTCATGGCATAATTAATATTTTAATTATGAGTGGTGATATACGTTTAACAACAACATCAAGTCGATTAACAATTTTAGGTTTATATGTATTAGGTATTATTCTTGTTGCAACATATACAGCTAATCTTTCATCTTTTCTTACATTAAATCGTGCTCAACCATTTATTTCTGGTATTGATGATATTAAAAATGGTCTTTTACCTTTTTCACGTATTGGTATTGTCACCAATTCAGCTGTATCTGATTATTATATACGAAATATATCTACTAATTATTATACTTTTTCTGCAGTTGAAGAGACATACTTGAGATTACTTGATCATACAATTGATGCATCTATATGGGATTCATCTATACTTGAATATGCTGTTAATAATTATTATTGTAATGAATTAGTTGTAACTGGTGTTGGTTTTATTAAAACATCATTTGCCATTGTTGTACCTAAAAATTGGCTATACAAGACAGATTTAGATGTTAATATATTAGAATTACGTGAATCACAAAAATTAGAATCATTAGAAAATGTATGGTTGAAGTATCGAGCATGTTCATCATCATCATCATCATCATCATCACCAAACAGTTTGAGTCAAGTTGATGGTAAAAAAAGTGAAACATTTTCACTTGATGTCTTAGGTGGACTCTTTCTTACGTTTTTTATAATAACTGCAATCGCTTTTGGTTTTCATATATGGAATTGTCGATTAAATATCATCAACACATTTCATCAGACAATAGAACGAATAAAACTACAGATAGTACAAATGATAATAAGATATTAATATAAAACTTTGTTGAATAATGTGTAATGAATTACAAAAATAACAATACTAAATAATTGTAGTGTCGTATATGATTGCATTTTCCTTATTCACGATAAATAAAATATATTTCAAATGAATATAGAGATTTTTTTTCTACGTGATAATTTTGATGATCTTAAAGAAATAATAATTAGATCAATCAATTTATTCAATGAACTCATTTAACTATTGTTTTATCCAATAAAATAAAAGTTCTGCATATTTAATCAAAAGCATTGACTCTATCTCTCAGTTATCAAAGATGAATACAGAAATTAGCTAAAGTAACTCTTACTCGCGCATTACAGACCTCGACAACCCTGAACAACAGATTTCTGATTCCTTTCCTAGAGCTTCTTATCAATGAAAAAAGAATTGAGCGGCATCAATGAAAAGACTACGACTGTTCTAGAATATTCGAAAGCCTTCCTAGAAATTCGAACCGATAGAATACATTTGTCAATATGTTCATTGATGCTGTTATGGGTTTCTATAACGATAAAAATTTATATAAAAAATGTCGACGATAATTTGAAATGATGTATTTGTTTTCTACAATTGTCATATATTCAATATAAAAACCGTCATCAGGGTGCTGGCGTGCGTGTGAAGAGATGAAACATGGACAAACCCATCCATACTCACGCCCACATTCACATTCTATTCGGTCTCAGTGACCAATCTCGACACAAATATGGTTTTAAGTCAATTAAAAACATATGACTTTATTTGACTTTAATTTGATTGTTACTCTAACTTATTTTTGCCTGATTGATCGTCAGAAACTGTAGACCTTCTGAGGTGCAATGATTTGGACGCCTTCGGATAGTTTTCGCAATTGAATATTAACAAAATTATCTTTATTTACGATCATAGTAGTGTTTAATGACTTGTTCACCTTTTTCTGTATCGACTACTGTACAAATTTCTTCTTAGTTGCTCGTTATATCAATAAATCGTCCAGAACATAAAAAATTACCTTCAAGCACATGTTGTGTTTCGTTTCAAAAGCGAGCGAGATAGAATGGCTTGATAACACTATGGTAGAAATTGGTATACCTAGAGCTGCACATCGGTTAGTCACACCGTCCTTTTTCTTAATTTTTTTTCTGTTTTCATTTATATGTATGTAAAATTGTTCCTGTGAAGTAGGTTATTATTACTGAGAAAAATCATACTCGACGCACTCCATGAATGATTTCAGTACTAGTGAGAAGAGTAGTCCGTCGGCCTCTGTCAAGAGAGAATCTATCAAGGCAGAATTTGTCAAGACAGAGTCTGTCATACATGAAGTGAAGATTGTTGTCGATGATAAGGAATATGATCCAGGTGACAGAAAGCTCCTACGCAAATTGGACTGGCATCTGATTCCAACCTTGACATTGCTTTATCTGCTGAGTTTTCTCGATCGAGTAAATATTGGCCAGGCGAAACTTGACGGTCTAACAGTGTCATTGAAGCTGAGCAGTACTCAATACAATGCATGTCTAAGTGTATTCTTCATCACTTATGTCGTGTTCGAGATTCCCTCGAATTTGATATTGAAACGACTTCGACCTAGTCGATGGATACCAATGATCATGTTGGCATGGGGCATCGTGATGACGCTGATGGGTCTAGTAAAATCGTATGGAGATCTTCTTGCATGTCGTCTATTTTTGGGTGCATTTGAATCTGGACTCTTTCCAGGTATAGGGAAGAAGAAATAGTTGAGACCTATAATCTATCAGCGATTCGTTTTTTTTTCTAGGCGCTAGCTTCTATCTTTCAAGTTGGTACAAGAGACGTGAACTCTCATGGCGTGTAAGTATTCTTTTCTCGGCTGCTGCTCTTGCTGGTGCCTTCGGTGGTGTACTCGCCTATGGTATCAGCAAAATGACCGGTGTTGGTGGACAAGAAGGTTGGCGTTGGATCTTCTATCTAGAAGGTATCGTTACAGTAGTTGTTGGAGCATTGGCCTTTTTTCTTCTTAATGATTTTCCTTCTGATCGACCGAAATTTCTTACCGAGTCCGAATGCAAACGTGTCATGGCTCGACTGCAAACCGATACAGGAGTTGGAGCTAGCGAGCATTTCAGCTGGAAACAAGTTCTGGCCGCTCTATCGACATGGAAAGTCTACATTTGGTCCCTATGCTACATTGGGCTGTGTGTTCCTTTCTATTCTCTATCTTTCTTCTCACCAACTATCATTCAGCATCTTGGTTTCGTCACCTATCAGGCTCAACTACTTAGTGCGCCACCTTATGTATTCGCTTTTCTAACTACGATGATCACGGCCTATTTTTCTGACAAATATGCTCGTCGTAGTATCTTCATCATTTTCTGGCTCGCTGTCAGCATAGTTGGTTATACTATTCTAATAGCAGTTAAGCATTTAATTATCAATTATCTTGCTGTGATTCTTGCAGCTGGTGGTCTTTCGCCATGTATAGCCACTTGTATCGCTTTTTTATCAGGCAACATCAGTCCACATACGAAACGAGCTACTGCATTGGCGTTCATGATCTCGGTGGGTAACATCGGTGGAGTGATCAGTGGACAACTCTATCGAACACAGGATGCACCTCGCTTTATCCTTGGTCATGCTGTCAATCTGGGTTTCTGTGCATTCGGTGTAATCAATGCTGTGATCCTTTTGTTTGGTCTCCGAGCAGAAAATCGACGACGTGATCGTCTGTATGGACCTACACGATCATCAGTTGTGCTTGTCAGTGGCGAATCGACATCGTGTGAAACAGATGTACAAAACCTTGATATATGTGGTGTAGGCAGCGAAGAAGACAGACGACGATGGGGTTATGAGAATATGTCCGAACAGGAAATTCGTGAATTGGGAGATCAGCATGCTGCTTGGCGATATATTCTATAGAAAATCAATTAGTTGACAACTGAATAAACTTGTTTTTGTGGATTTCTTCTTTGGGAGATTGATAACTGACAGTATAGATGATACGAGTGTGAGTGTGTTTAAAATGAAATAATATCAAACCATTTATGATAATCCTTTCGATATTTTCCTAAATATTGTGAAACTGTTCGTTAATTGAAAAGTTAATTGACTTACAAAGATGTAGTTGTTTTAATATGTTGTTGCCGATTTTGTTTGACAATAATCCTTTGAATATATCGATAGTGAATGTTACAGTGAACATTATCGTGATTATATCAAACTGTTTTGTTTGTTCATTAAGTTTGGAGATGAATAATAATTTTGTTTGTCACTGATGAGAGGATTGTCAGGATTCGTTTATCAAAGCATACTTAAATATTATTTTCATTTTAGAAATTGGTTACATTTGCATGAATCAATATGACACAACTAAAATCGACAGTCGAACATTCGATTCTTACCAATAGAAATCAATTCAAAACATTTATGAATTTGTGATTTTTTCTATTTATCCATTTTTTGTACCTGCTGATGATCCTGAACATGGTTTAACTTCATAAAATACGTACTTTGATGAGAATACTTATTCGATAGATCAATGCTGTCTAAGTCGGAATCAGCCCGATCAATATGGGGTTGTAGTAGACTGAATCTTTCCTTCCTAGCCATAGTAAGAATTCTGTGTCGTCTTCGCTATGTAAAGTTAGTAATAATCTCTACCAGTTACTATACGACTTGTTAGAGTATCTCGAATACAAAATGGTGAATTAGACTTGGACACTTGACAAATGATGGCATCTTTGCAAAAAAATCATTTTTTATCTCGTTGAAATTCTTCACTAGTACTTGCGAATATTTCTCATAGTCCAGAGTCATCAAGCAAATGGATAGTTTTTTTCTAGATAGAGAAAGCTTATATCTCAACAAATTAGGATAAATTAATAATGAAGAAACTTTATATGCTCGTTGACTAAAAGTGTCGATTTGAGTCCATATATTTATGTTAAATGTATTAAAATACTAGTTTCTCAATTCGATTTTTACGAGCTGTGAAAAAATCAATAAGATTCGAGAGAGCATATAACGAGAATAAGGATAAATCATCGATCATATCAGGATGAGGTTTGGTTGCTTTGTGAAAAATAGATATGCTATTATTGCTGCCTATAAATACTAACAAGATAATCCATTTTGTGAGATGAAGAGATCCTTTATTTCGCTACTATGTGCTTTTTCTCGTGCACGATCAATGTTGTCTCGAAAAGCCTTTAAAACTGCATGATGATCCGGCAGCGAACCTTGTACGATTTCAAGTGCAGGTTCGAAAAACGGGAGTATCATTGTGTTGTCTCCCTTTTCTTCAAACACTCCACCGATATTTTTGTAGGTTTGAACCAGAAGAAGATGATTGAGAGAAAGAGATCGTTGTGGAATTTCAAGTGACTTTTGATAGAACGATAGGGTGTCTGAGTAGTTTCCCATGTTGAAATACACGTAGCCGATGTTGTTGTAGGCGAGAGCCAGTATTGCATGATTGAGAGAAGGAAAGAGAGATTGTTCGAAAATTCCAGGCACTTTTTGGAAGCACAATATGGTGGGTGTGGGTACGCAAGAACAGAAGACCCATACCCATACTCATATCCACGATTGGCTAGAACAAAGTAGCAAAAGAACAGCTGTTGAGTGGTTGTATAAATGAATCTCTTTTCTTTGTGTTTTGAATGATGAATCACTGGAGTCACACAAATATATACTAGACTTGAAATACGAGCAATTGTTCATTTAGGATATTAAATATCGGTAGTCATCTGATTTAATTTCTGAACAATCGCTTATGTTCCCGATGACTCCATCATAGGAAATAAAAGATGCAAATGATTTACCGAATGGAACAAAAAAGATTATTTATTTTGAATAGCTTGATAGCGATCAATCGTTTACATGTTTCTGTTATTCAGCAAAAGATATACAATGCCTCGAAAGATTGCTCATCATTTTTTAGTCATCTTGAATGAGCGATTTTTATAGTATCAAACATCTACTGAAATATGAACGATTCCAAACTCGACTGAGTTCTTATGTCAACT